TTGTTTATGCTGCGCAACTTCTGCAGTTCATACCCGAGCGCTGCATTGTGTTTGGGAACTCTAATCAGACGGTTGAAGCTGCCCATGATGCGCGGATGAAGTGTGTGGCTGTTGCTAGCAAGCATCCAGTGTATGAGCTTGGGGCTGCAGACTTGGTGGTGAGCCATTTAGATGAGCTTTCGGTTGTTGATCTGAAGAACCTTGCCGATATAGAGTCGGCTGAATTTGGTTCCGAAGAGCCCGAGTTGGAGATGGAAGAAGAAGATATCGGCCATCGGCGTCGATAGCAGTAGATGATATCTTCTGGTAATCCTCAAAGAATTGTACATTCATATAATTCCTGGTGGTAAGGGTCATAGTGGCCCTGATGTGTGTATAAAAAGAAAAGAAAAAAATGGAATAGTAGGAAGTGGGAAATGTGGTCTGCATTGGACTACTTTAACATAGCAATGTATGTGTTAGTAGTTTGTATGATATTATTTACACATGCTCTTATTATATTTAACTAGCATGTTTCATCCTCATTTTGTGTTTTTTTTATCAGCAGGCTTTGAATTCTTCTGCATTTGTTATCTTACCTGCTCTGGTTAATATGCACACGACCAAAGTTAATTGGACTTAAGATATTTACATAATTTTCGTTATAATTTATTTTTTATAAGTTAAGGTAATTTCAAAGTAATATTTGTTTTAAATATTTTCAACCGTTTAATAATGAACGTTCAATCATCCAGTTATAATCGTAGGTACTTGAATCAATGACTTTTAGGAACAACAACGATTCTTTTAACTACTGAGATAAGTTATTCGTACATTTTCGTCGTAATTTAAAATCACGGCAATTTAATAATTTTTCAATTATGTTTGGATGCTTATAAACTTTTTATATTAAAGCTTAATTTAATTAACGAAATCCTAACTAATGGCGAGTTCGTATATATGTAAAAAGGTGATAAGACAGCATTGTTTAAGTTAGTCTAGTTTTACTCTCATTCATTTACCAAAATAAAAAAAAGGATGAATATATTTTCAGTATTTAAATTTGGATTTAAAGTTCAATTTAGTAGTTAATTTTTTATTCAACCGGTTATTTGAATTTAGTTCAAGGTTTAATTCAGGTTGATACGTGAATTTAATTTGCAGTTAAAATTGATACCTAAATTTGATTTTTCTTAGTAATGGACAATTTAAATTAACACCATTCATCTTAAGAGGCCATTTTATATCACGTTTTCGAAGTTCAAATGACAATATAACAAAACTTGTAAAAAAGACAACTTGATAGAAATAAAAAAAAAAGATTTAAATTAACATTAACCAAAATTTCATTTTTTTTTCAATTGATCAAGTTATTAAAAACCATCGACCATAGAAGTTTGTATTGCGTTCCCGGGCAAAAAGGTAGGTACTTAAGGTTGCAAGCATTGGTTTAATGTAAAAAAAGAATATGTAGTGGCCATTAGTGGCCATTAACCAATACCCATACTGATGCTAACAATTATGCCGAAGCTTAGCATTTTAATTCACATTTTCAGAAGAAAAAAAAAACAGCGAGAGAGAGATTTCTCACTCCCTCAACCCATATTTTTAACATCATTGCACAGAAATCCAAAACACTAAGCAATCTAAAAGTGAATGCCAAATAAAAAATGGCAAATCGTTTGAACATGCATGTATAAGATATCCCTAAAATTGCAAACACCCAAGTTCTAAAGAAGAAGAAGAAAAACACCATGCTTTTAATAGCTATCTAAGTTAGATTCACGTTCGAGAAGGTGAGAATAAGCAAAACAAAACATGAAGTATTTCAAATGAGGAATCAAACTGAAACTCTCAAATCTTATGGATAAAAAAAAGTAAAGATTCGGATTTGATTCAATGTACCATTCATGATTATTAATCCATAAGCTTATAAAAACATTGAACATCATCGTTTAAAAGCACCAAGCATCTAAACTTTGTAGTTAATACCATGTAATTTCGACAGATAGTCCGTCAAATAGAGAGAAGAAACTAAGACCTGGGCGTTAAGCGATTCAGACGGGCTGAGGAGTTGAAAAAGTTGGGGTTTGGGTTCAGAGTTCATGCCGATGATGATCACCATAGAATGAAGCCATAGTGAGTTACCACTTTGGCCTTTTTAACAGCCCATGTGCTCCACTCTTTAAAGCATTGTGCACCCGATTTTTCATCGAACCCTTAGATCCCTTTCCGGGCTTTGCCTTTGCTCTTTAGGGAACTCTAGGCGCCATTAAACAGCTGTTTACTTTCTTTTTCCTGGACTGTCCTCGATTAGGGAACCCTATTACATTTTAAGAATAAACAGGAATTCATTCGATTAGTCGAAAATTTGGACCACAATTAGTTTCAGATCAACCTGAAACATCCAATATCCAAATAACCATAATCCCTAAAACAGGAAGTTAGATTCATATCAGTACGAAACGACTTTATCATTTTCCCAGTTTGTTGTTTGCAACATTAATTCATGGCTAATTTCATTTAAAATGAAAAAATGGATCTCGAAAGAGGAAACGAAACTTAGAAGCGTCAGCGGAGGTCTTGCAAGTTAGCAAAAACAATATGGGAAAAGTAATCTCAGACGACATTAAAGAATGAGCAATCGAAAACACTAAGGCCATAAGAAGTGTTTAAAGCGAAAATCTTAATACTGAAGAATTAAACTAAAAAACAGTCGATCAAACAAAGTAATTTCTTACCTCTAAAACTCAAGGAAGATGATGATATCTTGAAGAATCGCGAGGGAAAGACCAAGACGGAGGAGTAGAAATAGTAGTGAGACGGGAGTAGGAATCAAGTAGGGTTTATGTGTAAAAAAAGTAAACACTTCTCAGATTCCTCTTAAATTTGACTTTATGCAAATTAGTCCCTTTCAAAACTGTTTAAGGCCCGGGATACTGTCCAAGCACGAAAGCCTGTCAGAAATTTGGGGGAGTTTAGGCAAAAGTGTTGGGCCCGAAAAATGGGTTTAAACAACAACAAAAAATCCTCATTTAAAATATGGAAAAAGTTCTGGGCGATTACCGAAATATCATCCGCACAGGTTATAATTACCTGTCAGACACCCTTTCTTCTAATATTATCAATATAACATCTTTCTGATAAGCGTGAATGGGGTTTTGTCCGAGCTGACGCCACGTAATGGAAGGCACGGATCATGAAGTGCACATTCCATAGGTCCAAATCATCCATAAACGCATTTGAAAAAAATGTTTTAAAAAATTAAAAAAATAACTATAGGAACTAACATCATAATTTAATACATATTAGTTTCATTAGTTGAAAAGCTTAATTGAGTTAGCTTATACAGGCATATTGGAGTGTTTAGTTTATGTTTCTTGACAATATGAGATAAAAGCTAAAAGGTGTATTTCTTGACAATGTGTTTAGGTTATGTTTCTATGAGTTGCATTCGATCGTTTTCATTACATTTTTATTTCAATTATATACATATAAATGTAATAAGAAGTTGATAAATTATTATTTATTTAATTTTTAAGTTACCTTACATCAATCAAAAAAATAAAAGTGAAAAATAATTGATTAATTACTTAGTATTAGATCATGTTACTACTATATCATCAACATACAATGTGGTTAACTAATGTATGAAATTTTGCAATACCAACTGTTCACAAGTATAATTACCACCATTTTTGAAGAAGTTTATAAAGTTGATCATGTCTCTTTATCGGTAAAAAATCTATATGAACCATTGAATCATCTCATGTTTGTTTTATTTTGGGTTTTGCATGATTATTTGTTCAAAATCATGTCATGAAGTGTTGCTGTCATATTTAAGTGGTTTGGAATTGTTGTCTTGATGTTGTTAATGATTAGATTGAAGTTGTTAAAGGTTTTCTCTTGGTTTTAAGATCATACTTGGATTCGCTTTGCTCTAACATGCGGTCACACCACTAATTTTTATGATACAATGTATGTTGACGATATAGTAGTAGCATGATCTAATATTAAATAATTAATCAATTATTTTTTAATTTTATTTTTGGATTGATGTAAGGTAATTTAAAAATTAAACAAATAATTTATCAACTTCTTATTATATTTATATGTATATAATTAAAATAAAAATGTAATGAAAACGATCGAAGTCAACTCATAGAAATATAATCTAAACACATTGTCAAGAAATACACCTTTTAACTTTTATCCAACATTGTTAAGAAACATAACCTAAACACTCTAAATATGTATATATAAGCTAACCCCATTAAACTTTTCAACTCATGTAACTAATATGTATTAAATTAGGGTTAATTACCCCATTTATACATAAATTATACTCGATTCTCAGTTCATACATAAAGTTTAAAAATTCTAGATTAACTACATAATATTTTCTACTGTTAATAGATATATCCATTTCCGTCACGGAAGATAAACCTCTGACCTATAACAAATTGACACGTGACACTTTAAAATACATGTTTTTATTTTTTAAGTCAATTACATAAATCATCATTCAACTATCTTCTCACTCTTATTTTAATCACTAAAATTTAATTTTTTTTCTTCACTAAAGCGCGCAGGTCACCATGAAATCCATATTTTTTAGTCACTCTTAAGTTTTACCTTCAGCTGTCCACTAACACCTAACCCCCATCAATTCAAAACCCCAATCTTACTCTCAAAAGAACCCAACGTTCCGTCATCGCTCTGCGATCTCAGTTTTTTGTTCATTTCTTTAAATCCCTATTCAGTTCTTTAAATCCTCGCCATAGTAACTTTGACTCCCTCCATTTTTCTCATAATCAAAACCCAACAGTCGTCACAAAAATCTCGCTTAATACAGTACTTTTGATTGTTTCTTGTTGCCTTATCCCTGTTTTCAGTTTCAATGGCGGATATGGAGGGAGATTCTAAAGGAGTGCCGGAGAAGGAAGTTGATGACGCAGAAGAGATCACGGTTAACGGAATCATTGGAAGGTTAATCTCAGTTATAATCGTTTTTATTATTATTATTTATGTGTTTGAAACTGCTTGATTGATTTATTATTATTATTATTTTGATATTTTTCAGTGCTCAGAATTGGAGATTTGCAGCAAAGCAGTTTTGAAAAAGTATCCTGAGGATGTTACTGTTCATTGTGAGTTCTTCGATAGTCCGTTTCTTTTCTTTTAGGTTTAACATGTGAATGATGTGATTATGTTAAAATCGTTTAATTATCTCGCCTGTTTCTTCTTAGTTTTTTTATCTGTTTAACGATTCTTCTCCAATACAACTCACTCCGATGCAAATTTGAATTAATTAACCTGAACTTAGACTTTAGATCTATCAGTAGTTATAAGAAGATAAGTCTAACTGATGGCTGATCCACAATATTCAAATTTTGATTGTTTATTCATTAAGTAGTGTTATTTTCATTTAATATTTTGTTGGATGATAGAGAAGTGAACGCAAGACCACTACCATTCACTAAATGAATATTTGTGATAATCATATTGTTAATGGGTTTCAGGATGAAATAATTACTGAATGATTAATGACTTAATTTGCAATGCAGGCAGTGAGCGCAATTCTTCAATATTGACATTTGATGGTGTCGATGTAATGCGTGACAGATTAGCATAGGAGGTATCTGTGCTATGAAATCTTTTACTGTTGCATAAAACAATTGCGTATATGTTAGGACTTGCTTTTTACATTACAGGCTGATAATATTTTCCTTATGTGGCTTTGCATTATTCAGGTTCCATTGTTTGGTGGATCCTATGCACTCGAAAAACTTGCTGCTCGAATATCATGGTTGCTTGGCAGAACTGGAAAATATTTATTTCTGAAGGATGGAAAGAATGGAAAACCATTGCTTCTTCTCTGGATGGTCAGTGATTGCGAAGATCTTAAATTTATGTGAGTTTTTGTAAGGTTCCTATGTTAATTTAAAGCATGTGAGAGCGGATGCTAAATTACAGGTTTATAGTTGTATCTTTTTTTTTGAACTGCAGCTCTGATCTGCAGTTCTTCTGGCGTCGTGTTGCATATGCAAATGTAGGTTTCTACCGTATCCTTTTATCATATCAGTGATTCTGCAGTTATGTTTTCTCCGCATCACTAATTCTTCAAGGAATATTCCGTAAAGAACCCAACGTTTGGTCATCGCTCTACTTTCCCTGCAAGATTTTTTGTTCATATCGATATGAATGCCTTTTTCGAAAGTTTAGTTTGCGTACTGCTTGTGCTTAATAGTTTCGGAAACCATTATCAATGAGGTGAAAGGGAGAGGGATAACGAGAACGGGGACAGTTGATGGGAACATAACTAGATATATAGACTATGCTTTATATGCAATAACATCTTAAACACAAATCTTCCATCAATGTTGGTTGCAATTTTAGATTTGTATGAAGTTTTTTTCGAACCGGAAGATTATCGTAGCCTTAATTTTCTTGTATTTAATCTTGGCAGATGGTCATAGAAGATTGGAGCAGCCTTCAATGGAATACCATCTGTGTTTTGCCAGTTCTCAGATGTATGATGCTTCTCATGGTTGTATTTGCTTTCTGGAACACTAGAAAAACCATTAACCATTGTAGACATATTAAATTCCTTATTAGAGGCTTAATACATTTTATTTGAAATGTTTATCCATGGATGAACTGGAGTGATTTATTAGAATCCGTGGAGGGAATTGGAAATGTTTTTTGGGTTGATTTTGTAATTGTAGAAATGACATTTGTAATTAGAGTACTGAATTTTATAAATTTGAGTTATTAATAAAATATTAATAAAATAAATTTGAGTCATTAATAGATGTCATGACATAATATTATTGATAAAATAAATTTGAATTATTAAAATAAGAGTAATTCTATAGTTTAATAATTAAATTAAAAATAGGGTTAATTACCCCATTCATATAAATACATTAAAATAAAAAAGTAATTTAAACTTTGAGTTATTAAAAAATATTAAAATAAATTTGAGTTATTAATAAAATATTAATAAAATAAATTTGAATTATTAATAGATGTCATGTCATAAAAAATTAATAAAATAAATTTGAGTTATTAAAATAAGAGCAATACTATAGTTTAATAATTAAATTAAAAAAATACAACTTTAGTGACTAAAATAAGAGAGAAGATAGTTGAGTGATGAATAATATAATTTACCTAATTTTTTTTAAAAAATCATGTTTTTTTAATGTGCCACATGTTATGGTTATAAAATTCCACGTCACTTTATGTGAGGGAAGTGGATGAATCTTCCGTGACGGAAGTGGGTGAATCCATTAACGGCAGAAAACATTGTTTAGTTAATCGAGAATTTTTAAACTTTATGTATGAAACTGAGAATCGAGTATAGTTTATGTATGAATGGGTAATTAACATTTTATACAATTACAAAATTAACCCAAAAAACATTTCCAATTCCCTCCACGGTTTCTAATAAATCACTCAAGTTCATCCATGGATAAACATTTCAAATAAAATGTATTAAGCCTCTAATATGGTATTTAACATGTCAGACTACAATGGTTAATGGTTTTTCTAGTGTTTCAAAAAGCAAACACAACCATGAGAAGCAACATGCATATGAGAACTGGCAAAACACTGAAGGTATTCCATTGAAGGCTGCTCCAATCTTCTATGACCATCTGCCAAGATTAAATACAAGAAAATTAAGGCATACGATAATCTTCTGGTTCGAAATAAATTTCATACAAATCTAAAATTGCAACCAACATTGATGGAAGATTTGTGTTTAAGATGCTATTGCATATAAGCATAATCTATAGATCAGGTTATGTTCCCATCAACTGTCCCCGATCTCGTTATCCCTCTCCTTTTCACCTCATCGATAATGGTTCCGAAACGATTAAGCACAAGCTCAAGAAGTACACAAACTAAACTTTCGAAAAAGGCATTCATATCGATATGAACAAAAAATCTTGCAGGGAAATTAGAGCGATGACCAAACGTTGGGTTTTTTACGGAATATTCCTTGAAGAATCAGTGATGCGGAGAAAACATAACTGAAGATCAATGATATGATAAAAGGATCGGTCGAAACCTACATTTGCATATGCAACACGACGCCTAAAGGACTGCAGAGCAGAGCTGCAGTTCAAAAAAAAAAGATACAACTATAAGCCTGTAATTTAGCATCATCTCACATGCTTTAAATTAACAAAAAGGAACCTTACAAAACTCACATAAATTTAAGATCTTCTCAATCACTGACCATCCGGAGAAGAAGCTGTGGTTTTTCATTCTTTCCATCCTTCAGAAACAAATGTTTTCCAGTTCTGCCAAGCAACCATGATATTCGAGCAGCATGTTTTTCAAGTGCATAGGATCCACCAAACAATGGAACCTGAATAATGCAAAGCCACATAAGGAAAAATATTATCAGCCTGTAATGTAAAAAGAAAATGCTAACATATACGCAATTGTTTTACGCAACAGTAAAAGATTTCATAGCACAAATACCTCCTATATTGATCTGTCACCCATTACATCTACACCATTGTCAGTGAATTGTGACTACTATATATGGTAGAGAAAATATGTGCAAGTATACACAATCGAACAAGTAATACAATGACGAGTGAGTATCGTACCTACAGGGATTGGAGGAAATTTATAAGCTTAATCACAACAATTTACTATTTCACCTAAGTATAGCTAGTGATGATATGTACAAATGAGAATGTTGTGGCAAGATGAAATGGATGGTGTGGAAATGGAATAATGGTAATATGGTATCGAATAGAGATGTCGTGACATATTATATTGTGTTCGGTGCAAACAAATGAAAATGTAAAGGCAAAATAAAATGTAAAGGTAGGATATGATTATCAGGACTTTAAACTCCTCACACGACAAGCTACAATGAGAATGAATGATAGGAGTCACTTGGGAAATTTAAGTCTACTTCTCAGAATGATCTTACTTCTATGCCTTATCTGTCCGACAGAGTTTACTAAGAGTGCCCTATGCTATCTAGTTAAGGGACTCGACAGGTTGAAGATGCCTTGGCAAACCGATCGGCGTTAGCAATTGCAGGGATCCTATTGGTCCTAATAACAGGATATGTCACGACAATACCTTTTTGCGGCAACATTAACATCTAACATCTCAATCACGCACTACTCCTTTTAGTCGACTGAAATCCTAGCCTTATCTCTAAGGTGGTGTGATGAAACGAGATAATGAAGAAGAGAAAAAGAGATTTCAGAGGAGAAGCAGAAAAGGTTTAAGAAATTCAGAATTCATTCCATGAAAATGATGCATAATCCTTCCTTTCGCAGGTACAATTATTTTTATACCGTGTACTACAAAATCTAACAAGCCAACTGGCTTAGATTCTAACTAATTCTGTTACTGCATATTATCTTAGGCTTCTCTGGTGGACTTCTCTGTTGGGCTCAAGGCTGATGGGTCTTCAAACATTAATTGTGTTTAATGAACCCGTGCTCCTCACGTGACCTTCACTTCATCAGGTAACAATCCCAATTCCTTCAGTAATCCCTAACCCTCGTTTATCATTTTCCCCAATTCTCTCTTCACCTCCCCGATCGTCTTCTCCTCCTTCCTCATCTCCTTCTCCAACCATGACAATACCCGCTGCTGGAGTAGATCCTTGTCCCCAAGGATCAAAGTTAGGAAACTGTCCCCTAAGAACAGTATAGTCCTCCCAAGTATCGCACGAATCATCTAGATTTTTCCATCGCACCAACAACTGAGTAACAGGTTTGTGTTTCCTGTTAACAATTCTTCTTCCCATGACTTGCAAAGGCTCAATTTTAATTTCACCTTCCTCGGTCATGTCAGGAGGATCCGTAGAAGAAGGGGCTAACTGTCCCATGTGTTTCTTCAAAAGACTTACATGGAAAACTGGATGTAACCGTGATGTCGCAGGTAAAGCCAAACGGTAAGCAACCTCACCAATCTTTTCTGTAATTTTGTAAGGGCCATAGTATCGGGCTGCTAACTTTAAGTTTTTACGCAGAGCCAATGATGTTTGGCGATAAGGCTGTAATTTCAGGTACACTTCCTCTCCCACTGCAAAATTTCTTTCCGATCGTTTTTATCAGCTTTTGTTTCATGCGATTGGCTGCAGTTCTAAATGAAATTTGACTAGTCTGCGAATGTCATCTCTAGTCTTCATTAATTCACTGACAGAATGCACTGGTGAGTCTGATTGCCATACCATTGTAGGAGGTGCATATCCATATAGGGCTTGAAATGGTGTCAACTTTAGGGTTGTATGATAGGTGGTATTATACCACCACTCTGCATGAGATAACCATTTAGGCCACTGCTTTGGTTGGGAGAAACACAACCCTCTTAGATACTGTTCAAGACACTGATTCACCCTTTCACTTTGTCCATCAGTCTCTGGGTGGTAGGCAGTACTAAATAGAGTCTTAGTACCTAACTTCTTCATTAGTTCTTTCCAAAAAAGACTAGTGAAGGTTTTATCTCTGTCTGAAATGGCCACTTTAGGCTGGCCATGCAACTTATAAATGTTGTCTAAGTAGAGTTTAGCTACTTCAGCAGCAGTATAAGGATGTGATATTGCCACAAAATGACTGTATTTTGTGAACTTATCCACCACCACTAAGATACAGTTCTTCTTCAAAGAAGTAGGTAAACCTTCTATAAAATCCATAGTGATAATTTCCCAGGCCTGTTGAGGAATAGGCAGTGGCTGAAGTAAACCAGGTTTAGCAACATGCTCCACTTTAGTTTGCTAACATACTGGACAAGCCTCACATAAGTAGCCACCATGGCCTTAAGTTTAGGCCAATAAAAGTAACTTCTAATTATTTGATAAGTGGCCTGAGTTCCTGAATGACCTCCATGAGGTGAGTCATGTAAAGTTTGAAGAATCTGTAGCCTGAGAGAGCCTTTAGTACCAATATAGACCCTGTCTTGAAATCT